ATATATTTCCGCTTTTGTTTTTAATCATGTCAGTGTTGGTCCTCCGCACTGCGGAAGCCTGATAATCATATATTTATTCAAATCAGATGTGCTTGAGCAGAGAAAACAATAAAACATGCAGGGCTGAGACCCTCGAGGARCAGGARTGCCCACCCCTGTGCTAGATTTTTCAATGTGGGCACAGCTCCATTGGTTTTACAGCACCTGGTATTCCCAAGCAGTCTCCCATCCAAGTATTAACCAGGCCCAACACTGCTTAGCTTCTGATATCAGATGTGTTCAGGGCCACTAATACAGTGGCGCCTGCTGAAATTTTTTTCAGGGGGGTCCATGGGGGGGGGCACTGAAAAACCAGGGGTGGCACACCAAAGCTATGGCAATGTAAAGCTTTGGCAACAGATGTTCAATTTGTAATTTTACAAATAATACTACTGATTTTGTGTATCTTTTACACATGGAGGACCATAGGTTATCCTTACATTGTTACATATTTCAATGGCATCAGATGTATTTGTAATGTTGGTGGGGACCCACAGGCATGGGGTCTGGGGGTCCCCAGAAAATTTGGAAAGAAGTAAATGCCATTTCCTGCATTCTGATGTATTTTAACAGGTTGTTAAACAGACTTTTACCTACATACGTAAACACTTGGTGCCAGTATTCTATAAGTGGAATAAATTGATTTGTTTAGCAAGAGAAACAACACTGGGTGAAGTAATATTTTATGGTAAATGTGGGGGTTCTAATGAATTAAATTTTAAATGTGATGGGGAAACTTCCCTTCAAAAACGATTGTCATTCTATTTAAATATGTCAAAATATAGATTTTAAAGACATTTACAAGGAACAAGCTTTTTAAATCACCTCTTCTATGTAGGTTAAAAGTTTTATTTGCTTGTTGATGTTTACTTTTGTCAAGAAAAACTAATTATAAAAACCCAAAACTGGAAATAAAAACTAAAACAAGCACAATTACTGTAGTGTTATCCCAAACTATTAAGTTATTTGCTTTTTTATGTCATATAATAAATATAATTTTGGTCTGTGAGGGAAAATTGGAGTACCTGGAGAAANATTGCATTGGCAATGTGGCCTCTTTCTGCACACATACAAACCAACCCTTGGCAGTACCCTCTGCCACAGTTCCAATGGTCTCATGGTAAACTCTATGGGCTTTCATGTGGGAAATCAGGGTTCAAAACCCAGCTACAGCAACTTTAACAAAAAATCTCTACAAACTTCATATTCTTACACAATTACGCTCATTACAGACACCTGCTGACTTGACAAGCACAAGCTGGCAGAAAACACATTTGAACTTGGTCACATTTATTCTTAAAGTCCACTGCTGCAGGCAAAGCCATGCTGCAATGGCAATGCACACTTGTTTTTACATTGTAAAAACCCATGTCTAGTTCCTGTTGTCTTCTTTGTCACCAGTAGAAACAGCCAGTTGTTGATCACGTGACTCCCGTGATGTGAAAAAAGTGTTTCCATTGCAGTTTTGCAAAATACACCAATTTCGATACAGCTGAAAAACCACCTCATCCTAGGGCAAAACTATTTTGTCAAAAAATGTAAGTTTTTTCGAAATTGACGTGTTTCCGTTGAGCAAATTTGTTTTCGAAATTCTAATTTGCGCATTTTCATGGTCAATGGAAACGCAGCTGCTGACAATAAAGGCGTCATCAATCATCAAGTGGCTTCATAACGCAAAAGCTAAACTGATGCAAATATTAGGAAATAGACATGTTGCAAAAGTGGTTATATTTCTATTTTTTTACCTTACTCTAAGAGGAAATATTGTTTTGCACATTTTGCTTTATTTACCAAAAAATTTACATTCACAAAACAAAACTTGTGTTGAAAAGAAAATTGTGTAACCTTCAACAGTTCGAAAGAAAAAGCCCAGCAGTCAGATCTAACAGGATTTTATCTTTCAGCACTTCGCTGCCAAAATGAACAAAGTCCTCAAAGCAGGAAGCTGACAGAAGTCCAGCTCCTAGATTTAGTTCTGGTTCTGGCTTTTTGTCCAGAGTTATCCAGTAATCTGTTGTCGTTTGTGACCTCTTTGCCTGGTTTTATTTGTGTCAGTAGTTTAAGGACAATTAATG